CCAAATATATAAAGCCAAAATTGACAGAAGCACTATAATAAATGGAAAAACCCACAAATTTAGTGGGAGATTTTAATATACTTTTCTCAAAAACTGATAAATCAAGCATATAAAAAATAATACACTCTTGACAAAAAGGATATCTGAATGGCCAATAAATATGTAAAAAAGTATTATACAATACTCAACTTCATTAGTCATCAGGAAATTGGAAATGAAAACTGCAATTTCTATATACCCACCAGAATGGCTAAAATGGAAATGACAGATAACATGTGTTGAACAAGATGTAGAGTAACTAGAACCCTCATATATTGCTGGCAAGAGTATAAATGGTTAACACCTGCTTTGGAGACTATTAGCAGTATCTAATAAATCTGAATATACATGTGCCCTCTTCTATTCCTAGGTGTATTCCCAACAGAAATGCACATATAAGTTCACCAAAAGGCATGTACAAGAAGTTAACTGCAGCCCTATTTGAAATTGCTAAAACTATAAAAAACCCAAATATCCACCAATAGGATGGATAAGTATGACACTCTACATACAATCTATTCATTCATACAATGAAATAGTATAAAGCAATAAGAATGAACAAACTTCAACTATACCCAACAATGTGGATGAATTTCACAAATATTAAGCAAAAAAGCTAGAGGCAAAAACATTTATACCGTGTGATTTCATTTATATAATTTTCAAAAACACTTCAAACTAATTTTGGGGGCTAGAAGTTAAAGACTATGGTTACCCTGTGGAACAGTGAATGGAGGGGGCCTGGAGGGGGGCCTGGGGTGCTGATAAAATTCTGTTTCTTCCTCTGGGTGTTGGTCACCTGGCTTTGTTCATATTGTTATATTGTATCTAGCTATATATATACTTAGGATCTGTATACTTATATATATATATATACACACACGTATTACACTTCACCAAAAAGTTTAAAGACAGATATTAAGAGACAGAGCAGCTAAATGCAATATATGGACCCTGTTTGGGTCCTGATTCACAGCATTTGTAAAAACTTTTTATGAGATGATTAGGGAAATCTGAACAGTATCTGGATATTTGATGATATTAGGGAATTACTGTTTACTTTTAAGTGAAAAATAGTTTTTAAAAAATATGATAGTATTGTTTTGTCATTGAGATTTTTATGATATTCACATATACATACACATGTAACACATTATGGATAACAGAAGATGGTTTCTAGGAACTTCATGTTACTTGGGAGAGAGGTGAAACAAGATGGGTCACGAGCCCGTTGTTGAAGCTGGGTAATGAGTGTGTAGGTGTTTGCTATCCTATTTTCTATACTGTTGAATATATTTGAAACTTTCATAACAAAAAGATGTGTATAAGTATAAATATAACAAAATATATGTAAGATTTTTATAGCTAAAATTATAAAACTTTATTCAAAGGCTTTCTTTAAAGAAAAAGATCTGAATAGAGAAATAAAGCAGACCTAAATAGAGAAATAACCCATGTTCCCAGATGGGATGATTTAATTAAAAAGTTTTAATTTTCCTTAATCTATAAATTCAATACAATTTTAACCAAAGTACAAAAACAATTTTTTTGTGGAACTTGAAAACTGATCCTAAATTCATATGGGAAAGCAAAAACCCAAGAATAGCCAAAACAATTTTGAGAACTAGGATGGCAACTTGCCTTTCTTCTTACCAACTGCCGCAAGACACATTAAAAAACCAAAGTAATTAAAACAGTGTGATAGTGGCACAAAGACACATGGCCCAGTGGCATAAAATCGAGAACCGAGAAACAGATCCATGCATTTGTTAGAACTTCCTACAGGACAGAGTTGGCTTTATGACTTAGTGGGTAAAGGATTTCATGGATGCTGTTGGGATGAATGATTATCCAGTAGGAAAATAATAACACTAGATCTCTATATCATATGCAGAAACTGATTTTAAATGGAAAGTAATTCATAATGAAATAGCATATGTTTAAATATACAAATGTTCAGGCTGACTACACTAGAATACATAATGAAGTACAGTAGTCAGATGCTCGCACCTAAACTTAGAATCACCATGAACGCAAAAGCTACAAATGCAGACTATGCAGGTGTGTTGTACTGGCAACTCAAATACCACGAGCTGTGCTGCCTTCAGTTATATGATTTTCTAGAGTGATGAACAACTCTTGTTAAAGTGCCAAACCACAAATAAGTATAATTTTCCTTTGATTTACATTAGAGTTGCATTCCTGAAAATTTTTACTATATTAAACTGTGCAAAAAAATACATTATGTTTATACAAAAAAAATGGAGTTAGGCTCTAGGCTCAGGTAATTATAAATGAATATCCTATGGGACACTCACAAGTTGTATAGAATACAGGACAATCTTAATGTGAGGACTGTCCCATGAATTACAGAACATCTAACATCCCCAGCCCTGTTCTATATACCCCAGTATTTCCTTCAATCACAGCAGTAATCAAATACGCCCTCACAAATTCCAAAACACCCCCCAAAGAGCAGTACCACCTTCTTGGAGAACAACTATTGTAGAAAAAGTCTTGCTTAGACATGTGCAAAGATGTTCATTGCAGCTTTGTTCATGAGAGCAAAGTATCAGAAAAAACCTAAATGTTCATCAATAAGCAAATGGATACACTATTATACACTCATCATGAACACTTAAAATGAATGAACTTGATATATAAGTACTGATGGGAATATACTGGCAAAACCTAGCTGCAAAATAAAACCTACAGTATACAATCTATATTTTTAAAATTAAAAAACCCTAAATAATAATATATATTGTTTATGATGTATAGATATATAGCAAAAGTATAAAAATGTGGGCATGAATGATGCACACAAATTTCAGGAGAATGTCTCTAGGGAGGAAGGGAAATGGGGCTGGGAATCAAAGCAAAAGGGATCTGAACTAAATCTGTGATGTTTTATTTCTTTAAAAGAAAACATTTTTTTTTTTTTTTTTTTTGCTCTATCACCCTGGGTAGAGTGAAAAAAAAAACTTAAGCAGATTTGCCAAAATGTTAGTATTAATTAATCTGGTTTCTGTAGCATAGGTATTTGTTATACTATCCAATGTAACAATTTCTACTTTTTAAATTTTTGTGATAATTTTTATAAAGGCAATAGGTGTCAGGGTGCATATGAATTGAGATCAGTGACCAATTAGAAGACTACTGCAATTCTCCAGTTAAGAAATGCTGAGAGTCTGAACTCCTGAATGCTGAGGTCTTAGCTATGGAAATGGAAAGGGGTCAAAGCAGGTGTTAGAAATGACTCAGGTTTCTAGGTTGGTTGACCAAGCTGATAGCACTACCTGTAAGAAAACAACTATTTAATTTGTGCCGTTTTGGATATTATACAAATAACCTGTTAGACCAGCTCTAATACCTATTAATAGAATACAGGGCAATTGGTAGTTGAAGCTGGTATCTTTAGAAACATTGCCCTTCGATCCCCCATGGAAGCTTAACAGTTCATGAGACATTGGGTTCCATATATGGTATTGCTTTAAAGTAATGAGATAAATATCCCCAAGCTCTTGTAAGAATGCGGTTCATCACTTTATAAACAAACTATACATTTTCTTACTAAGCATGGAAAGGAAGGTCTGGGTGTAGTATAGAGTGCTGTTGTAGGGCAGCAGTGAACAGTCATTTTATCTTATCATTTCAATGTAATAATAATACTTGTGATTATTTCCCATATTGGAATAGCTAAGTTATTGAGTTAACTATAAAAAATAGAAACAACAGTGTTGTATTTACTGTTCACACTTTCTGCAAACCTTCTTTAGGAATTGATGATGGCTTAGCCAGCCTGAATTCAAGAGTGAAGTCCATTTACTTAGTATTTGTGGCATTTAGAGCAGGTAGACTGGAGTTGGAAAAAATAAACTTGAATACTCTGTTTAGTTGCTGGTAACAAAGCAATTACAGGGCCAATTTTTTCCCTCTGTGCTCAGTGCTGTGGGGTCTTTCTTCAGAAAGTTTTTGACGTATGTGTACGGTTGGTTCTACATACCCTTTCACCCAGCTCTCAGAGAAAAACTGTGTGGATTCAGAGGTGGGTAATGTGGCCTAAGTGCTGCTGGTGGTGGGAGATACCTCCCCTACACCCCAACCTTCACACTGACTCAAGCCTTGAAAGCAATAGAAAAGTGGGTTACAGGAGTGAACTGCTCTTCTGGAGGAATCCTTTTCACTTCCCTTTACAGCTGTTTCAAACCTTCAAAATAATTGGGGGGACTTTCATTCACACTTTTATATTTCTGCTTTAAACACTTCACTATTGCTTGAATGTTAAAATATTAGGATAATAATACCTCTACCTTTGTAATCAAATAAAATGCAAGTCTGGGAAAAGTCAGTTGCCAAGAAAACGTGATGGCATCCACTCTTAACACGCTGCTAGAAAAGGGGGATCAATGATGCCAGATCCCGTCTTCACAGCGGTTCCCTGGCGGTGTTAAAGTGCTGCCGCGTTTCTGTCTAGCCGCAAGCTGCACCCATGCCTCAGCGGCGCCCAGCGCTGCAGCCGGGAACACCGTAACCAGCCCCGTCTGTGGCTGACTCAGACCGGCGACAGGAAAACACTGCCCGCGCGCCTTATCTTCAGAATGTTCACTGGCTACCTCCCAGTAGTTGGAAAGGGATTAAGGTTTTGGTCATAAGGTATTTGAATCAGGCACTGACATTTTACTTTCGCAAGAGCATGAAACATAACACAGCCCTTCCTTCTCTGCCCCTAATTATTATTTATAATAATAGACCAGGCCTTGGGTCCGGGTTGGCGGTAAGGGTGGTCTGTGAGGTCCGTGCACCGCCATCTGCCCACTCCTTCTTCCGAGCCACCTCAGTCCGAGCCTCCACCCGTCTCCCTTCTCTGCAGCCGCCCCATTTCCATCACCTCCACCCCCGTCACCTAGCTTTCGCTCTTCCCCGGCCCCTACTCACATCTCCCAGTCCGACCTGTTCCGGCCCACAGGGGCTTTGGTCTACTTGGGACGAATCACAAGTGGGTTTTCATTCAGGTGATTTCGGATTCGCTAATCAGCGCCACTCTTTCAATGCTCACCTTCCTCCTCATTAGCTTATAACTGCCGTGGCTCCAGGCAACGCCGAACGTGGTGGGTGGGCACGTCGCCTCCGTTAAGCCCTCCGATTGGTAGTTCCTGTCGGTCCCAAGACTGGCCTCAAGTTCGATTGGATAGCAATCGAGCCAGCCCCACCTCACTGTCAATCACATCATCCCCCTTCGTAACTCACTGGACCATTGGTCAGTCTAGCCTGAGGGCGGGTTGTTGGGCGGAAGAGAGCGGCTTCTCCTGGCCTCCCTTGCTGTCACCATGGAGATTGCACACGTGGGCCAGTGAAGCCGCTGGGCCAGGCATCTCCCATTTCGAAGGCTGAAGAAATGTACAGCAGTCCAGATATTATTGCTTGTTTCGGGGTCTGATGAACTTCTCACTCCCCGACCCCCTAGCCCGGGTGGGGCGTAGGATTTGGGGGACAAGTCAGCTCAGACCCAGTCATCAAAGGTCCGTAATAACCCTTCTGGAAGGAACCGAGTCTAAAGCACCCGTTTTAATAACATCACATTTCAATTATCCTTATCCCGCCTTATTTTATTTGGCATTATTCTTCCGCTGTCATTATGAAGTAGATAGGTAAGGATCATTCTACCCATGACACATACTGAAACAAAATTTGGAAACGTGAAGGAAACTATTCAATCCTGGAACACTGAATTTCTGATTTAGGCAATTCAGCTCCTGAATCATATATGATTTATGAACCAAGCAGAAGAAGATGGTTGAATTTCATTGACTGTACATCTCAAATTTATTCTACTTTCAAGGCGTCGTTTGCAGTCACATAAACTAACCAACGATTTATGTGTTTGGCAACTTAACCATATTTGGCCTAATGAGAAGCTCTGTGTTATAAAGCCATTATTTTGATTAATTCATTTCATTGGAATTGAGTGTTAACTGCAGTTATGCACTGTGAGGATATACAAGAGATGCAATGTGACTCCGGTCTTAATAGCCTGCAGTTTTGTAATGTTAGATCAACAACACATGAAACAAATAGGAGACATTTTACTGCAAGTATAATGATCAAACCTAATTTATAGTTAATTGCTCCAAAAGATAATAATACTTCATATTTGCAAAGCATTTTGTAGGTATCACTGCTTCACCTGCATTATTTAGAGGATATTTTGTTTTGGCTGGAGTTAATGTGGCCGTCTTCATGGTAAAGCTAGAACTAATGTTGGGTCCTAGAATATGGGTAGGAACAGGAAAAGTAGAACAGAAATGGAGGGGAATATGGGGAGAGAAAATAGTTCGAACACAGAGACCAAGACAAAAATAAGCACTGAATACCTGGAGAAGAGTAATATGGAGACAAATAATGGGAAATAATGTTGTGTAGATCAACTGGTCAGAACTGATTCTGAGACCTTAATGTTTTTTGGGGAAAGTGATCAAAAGTTTGAGACTGGGAATGTTAACCTCCTTACACTTCTAATGATCAAACTGCCTTTAGTTAAATTATAAATTAAGAATGAACACAAATGAGGAAGCGATCCAAAATTCTACATCTTCCTGAGTGGTTGTAACATTATTAGGTTTTCTGTCTCTTAAGAAGGAACCCTCCTCCCAAGCACCCCCCATTCCCCCATCTTACCCCTTAACTGGGAGGGTATATTAGTTTTCTGATTAAATATCATACTCTCTCATTGAAATTGAGAGAAGTGCTGTCACCATAGTACTTCATCTTTTGCTGTCTCTCAATCAAACTTATGTCCCCAATTCTAGAGGAAATGATTACTTAACTATACAATCTTTCTCTTTTTAAAATTTGTCTTCTGTACGCCAAGTTTTATATACTACTACTCCACATTGCTCCACATCTCTGTAGTATATGTATCCCTCATATTGTACTTGCAGAATGGACATAGGTGCCTATATACATATCTTATTTTCTTCTCTCCTAAACAAAAAAAATTCAAAGCAACAACAAAACCCCAATGTTCATATCCTCCTTCTCAAATGTGTAAAACTATTTGTTATGTTGCCTGGTAGAGGTAGGAGAGTAAAAAGAGGCCATTTGGGTTATAGAGTGTATGTGATGATTTCAAGAAAAGATGTAAAGTTTTCTTGCTTATTTTATATTTATCAAAACTTTTTCTGCAAGAGAGTCCTGAATTTTTTTTTCTTTTTGAGACAGAGTCCTGCTCTGTTGCCCACGTTAGAGCGCCGTGGCATCAGCATAGCTCACTGCAACCTCAAACTCCTGGGCTCAAGCAATCCTTCTGCCTCAGCCTCCTGAGTAGCTGGGACTACAGGCATGTGCCACCATGCCCAGCTAATTTTTTCGATATATATTTTAAATGTCCAGCTAATTTCTTATTATTTTTAGTAGAGACGGGCGTCTCGCTCTTGCTCAAGCTGGTCTCCAACTCCTGAGCTCAAAGGATCCATCTGCCTTGGTCTCCCAGAATGCTAGGATTACAGGTGTGAGCCACAGCGCCCGGCCATGCCCTGTATTTTTTTGTACACACTTTCTCATGTGTGATTATTTAGTGTTTTTGCAGGTCTGAAAATGTACCAAAAACTGAAGTAAGTGTTGGATTATTAGCTGAGGCTGAAAGGCTACTAAATCTGCTGATTCTCAATTTTGCTAACTGAGAAACTGAATAAACAAAAAATTCCCTCCAGTACTACTGTCAGTAGTTCAAGTCAAGTTACGGACCTTCCAAGGCCACCCAGAATTACCACCATGATTTTCCAGGTCACAACATTTACCTAATGTTATAAACCAGAGGTCAGCAAACTATGGCCCATGGGCCTAATTTTAGCTTGTACCACCTATAAGCTAAGAATGATTTCACATTTTTAAATGGTTAGAGAAACTCAAAAGAAGAAAAATGCTTTGTGACATATGAAAATTATATGAAATTCAAATATTAGTGTCTGTAAGTAAAGTTTTACTGGAACACAGGCACACTTATTTATTTATATGTTGTCTATGGCTCCTTTCGCCTTACAACAGCAAAGTTGAGTAGTCACCACAGAGACTGTATGGCCCATAGCCTAAAATATTTACTATTGGGCCCTTTAAGAAAAATATTTTATTCTTACTACCTTAGAAGTGTCTAATAAATCAGGTCTGGGGACTTTGAAAATCATGTAGTGTTAAAATTTAAAATCTCACATCAATACAGATAAATTACCTCTTGCCTAAAATCACATAGTCAATGAAAAGAGGTAGTTCTAGAACCTTGGTTCCAGTGGTCCAAGGCTTTTTTCATCCATGCTGTGTCTTTTCTCACATAGAGCTTATCTTACTTAGGATGGGATAGGTGTTACATAGGCTGAAGGCAAGGAGAATTCATTAAAAATTTTTCAAATTTTGATCTCATGTCTCATTCACACAAATACAGTGCAACATGCATCAATTTATGAATACTTTGACTTTCATTATTTTTTTCTGCTAATTTGAGTTGCCTTCTGTTTTCTGTTTTTCTTACCTCTCAAAAAGTATTATTAGCAGGGCATGGTGGTTCATGCTTATAATCCCAGAAATTTGAAAGATCGAGGTGGGAGGATAGAGATCAGCCTGGGCAACATAGCAAGACCCTATCTCTACAAAAATAAAATAAAATAAAAAATAAATGGTGTATGGCCATCATGAAAAACTTTCTCACTCTTATGCTTATTCTCTGTTTTAAAAAAATCTCTCTTCTTTTTCTACTTCGACAAAGGAATTTGGACATGACTGAGTTTCTATACTAGCCCAAGGTTCTTAAGGGAGGTACGGATGATCAGAATCAGAAAAGCAGAGGACAGTTTTTACTGGAGTCCATGGATGGGCCGTATGTGTGGAGAGGAGAGGGAGTGCCCACAGACCCACTGAAATTGTAAGGTTTAGTGTGTGAGCATAGGTGGGCTTCTCTGAGGGGCGTATCCATAGCTTTCATAAAATTTGCAAAAGAGTCCATGACCGCAAGAAGATTTGGGAGTATAGATGTAAAAGAAGATGTGTTTGGGGGAGAAATCTGCTGAGGTGTGTGATGGTGGAGACCGATCTAGGTTTGAAGGACCGTCAGACCTCAGCTAATCTGAAGCGAGAGCTGTCTGCCCGCTTATATCAGCCCACCCAAGTCTCATTTTCTTCGCCCCTCATAGAGGTGGTAAGAATGTATCAGATTCACAGAGCGGTTGAACTCAGATGGTGATGAAAACCCAGTATAATTCTTTCCAAAGAACTTTCTGATTAATAGAAACTGCAGAGGAACTAATTTTATGAAAATAGCAAATGGGATTGTTTCAGTTGGAGCAAGCCAGGAGAGCTGGCACTGATGCCACGTAGGGAGACGCAAATGATCACATTGTGTGGAGCTGATGGCTGCAATCCTGCCACTTATTTATTGAATGTCTTTCCGCTGTAAATTATTAAGCCTAGATTTGGGGAGATGTGGGAGCTGACGGAATAAGACAATAGAATGAAAAGCAAACCTGGACAGCTTCCTTTAGTGTTAGTGCAAGTATTGTGTTTTCTGAAAAGCCTTTTCCCCCACCCTGGTGTTGGAGAAGGGGGAGGATTCTCCCTTCAATGAGGCTCAGGGCCATGCTTTTGATTTCTGAATTATTTGCCAGTTCTTACAAATCCAAATGGTTTTCCGAGAAAATCCAACCTGTTGGCTCAACAACCAGGTGCCAGATATTTTGTGTATTTTCTGAAAGGGCTGTTTTGCCCAGGCAAGGAGAAGTTTGGTCTGCCTTATCATTATGAAGTGCCAAATTAAATCTTTTAGAGGACTCCGCTGCCAGATGATTGAGTTCACTTGACTTATTGGGGAACAGAGAAGGTCTAGCACACTGGAAAGGAATTCTAAAGTCTAACTCTCAGGCCAAAGAATAGGAATAGGTTGATGGACAGAGAGGGAGTTGAGCTCTGATTATGCTCAGCATCATTTGAAAAGCCGGAATTCTGACAACTGGGGGAGTAGCTACTTTATGTGAATGATGGGTTCAACTTTTAGCCCTCTACCCTCCTGCAGTATCAGTGGAGGGCAGGAGGCTATGCCTGTTAGCCAGGCACCAGCCAAGTAACAGTATGTGCGTTGGTATGGATACCTAAAAGTAGGGCCCTTCATTCATCATTTGTCCATTCATTTGACAAGTGTTTATTGAGTGTTACTCTGTGCTTGCACTGTACTGCAAAGCAGAGAGAAAGAACGAACAGTGCAGCCCATGGTCAGAAGGGGGCCTGATTCTCAGAACACTAAATCCTTATCTAGGTTTTGGTGATTCCTCCCCAGTGTGTGGAGAGAGAAGGCTCATTTCACTTCTCCTCATCAGTAGGGTGCGTGGGATTTCTTTGTTATTTGTAAGATGGCATCCTCTCCTGGAGTGTGCCCACGGTGATGATAAGCTGGGGTTTAATGTCTCTTTGTTCTCCTGCAGATTAGGAGGAGGATATCAAGCCATCAAACAGCAAGAGAGAGATTTTGTCCCCATCAGCCCTGCCCAGCCGCTGGGTTTGCAATCTGGGCATCCTTTCTGGGGAGCTGATATCAACTGGCTGGCCGGAGGAGGATTCTGTGAGTTCTGATTTCCTCAGCTCTTGTGAAGGAAGAGAGGACCAAAGCCCGAGAGGCAAAATGCCAGGGGACAGCTAGCAGGATATATATGGCAAGCTCAGCTGGAGCCTATACAGGAACATTTGGTGGTGGGGGTTAGGAAACTTGCGGTACTTTGTGGGAAAGAGTAAGAGTATTAGAAGAACCATGGGGTTTCTGCTCGGCAGATGTCTTGAGGCGCTGTTGCAGCCTGTGGCGAGGCTGAGCCCACACTTGCTTACAAGGTTTGAAGTTCACTGTGCAGCTGGAGACTGCTCCCGTTCGGCTGGGGGCCACCAGTGCCCTCTTCTGTCTGTTCCATCAGGGTATTTCAGAATAGGGTCAAGCCGAAGCTGTGAGGAGTGTAGCCACTGTTCTTGAGCTCTGAGTGAGAGGAGACAGCAGACTCAGAACTGAGGGATTTTAAAATATGGGGACAAATCTTCTTTGAGCTCTCAGCTGCTCAGATTGAAAAGCCTTTTACAGATTGGTGCTGTGTTCTGGAATTGAAAGACCAAATACTTAGAATGGAGATCTAGGAGCTAAATCAGGATTACCGACATAATTCTCTCAGAAGCTCACAAATACCTAGGGGTGGCCCAGTTCGAGAGTGCAGTCTCACAAATATTCCACTACATTTTTTTTTTTTTAATGAGAGTCACTGTCCATAAGGAGAAGAAGTCTTGAAGATTTCAGTTCTGGAACTTTCTGCCCCAGACCTCTGTTTTGCTAACCTTTGGGGCACCATGCCAAACTATTCTCCATAGAAACTATTAACATTATGAGTTTGCTACACAAACTCAGAGGTCCTAAAGGCAGTAGATGTGATTTAAGTTAATCTAATAAATACATGACAAAAAATAGAATCACTTCTTTGATTGCTTTGCCAATGTGTTCCCCAGGTTGAGACAGTTAGGGGGAGTCAGTGAGTGTGTAAGTAGGGGACAAGGAGAAGAAAGGAAGGGAGTGACAAAGGTCAGGGAACTTGAGAAATGAAGAGAATGGAGCCAGATTCCCTAAAGAAAAAGGAAGCCCAGTGGTATTTGGCTGAGAGGGGCGGCCATGCCTTGAGTTGGTCAAGATTCCCAAACCTTCTGTTTCTGAAAGATGATTGCCCACGTGGTAGACTCCAGATTCTGCCTGCCCCCTTGGGTGTGTTTTGATCTAAGGAATAAAGGCCTGATGCAATTCACTTCAAACCCTGAGCATTCTGCTGTCCATCAGGCAGTGTCCTGGAAAAAGGAGAGAGGGAGATAAAAACACAGTCCCTTTCTGCACATGGCTCACATTCCCCAGGGGAGATAACAAAAAAATAAACCTGGTGAGAAAGGGTACCTCAGAGGCAAATCTAGGGTGCCTCCCAGGTACACAGGAGGAAGCTAGAGGGGTCAGGCAAGGCTTCCAAGGTGACACTTGAACACAGCCTCTCTAGGTGACTGCAGATTAGCCACAGAGGGCAGGTGGGAAAGGATTCTAGACACAAGGAAGAGCACGTGCCAGTGTCTAGTGACATACAAGCGCATGGCAGACTAGCCGCTGGGCAACAGGCAGGGAATGAGTGTGGCATGGGGTGTGCTGGGCTGAAAGAGAGGGGTGGTGGCAAAGGCAGAAGACCAGGCAGAACGTCCACTGCATCTGGATCACGAAGGGCTTGCATGACGTGATAAGGAATTTTGACATTATCCCCCAGATTCTGATGAGCCACTGAAAGATTTTACAAAAGGAGGTATTTATACTTTGTATATTAAAAACAACAACAACCAAAAAAAAACCCAACTCTTTTTCCATAAACCTCTTATCTAGTCATTTGGCTTCTGCTTGAATATTTTCAGGGTTGGGGAGCTCTCAACCTCCAAAACTGCCCACCTCATTGTTGGATGACTATAAATCTTAGAAAGTTGTTTCCCACATTGAGCCAAACTCTCTGTCTCCTCACAATTCCTACTCATCATTTCTAGTTTGACCATTGTGGCAACACATAAAAGGCTATTTAAAAAATTTATGAAGATACCTATTAAAACTTCCCTTAGTTCAGTTTTCCAAAATTCCACAGAGTTTTCTCATACTTTGTTTATTTCATTATTTCTAGACTTCTTTACCATCCTGGTTACAGTTATCTGGATGAACTGTGGTTTTCAATGCATCTTTTTTTTTTTTTTAAATTCAGGATATTATGGGGATACAAACATTTTGGTTACATGAAATACGTTTGCCTCGACCATACCCAGGCCACAAGTGTATCCCTTCCCCATACAGTGTGCCCTGTTTGCACTAGCTGTGGCTTTACCCCCCTACATGACCAGCACCCAATGAGTATCACTACCATGTGAGCACCTTAGTGTTGATCAGTTAGAACCAATTTGATGATGAGGACACGCACTGCATGTTTTTCCATCCTTGTGACACCTCACTTACCAGTGCGTCTTTTAGAATCTGGGGCTAGAATTGCTCATAATACTTCAAATAAGCTCTAAAAGGCATGGAGTACAGTGATGTTAGGACTGCTTCTTCTGAGCTGGGCACCAGATGACCATTAGGGATTTCAATATCCTTAGTTTGTTACTGGTCATATCTCACTGCTTTTACAATTTTTGATAAACTGACACTTTTAACTCTTCTGCACATTAATTGCTCCCAAGTCAAATTCCACCATACTCAGTATGTGCAATTTATTTTTGAAATCTAAATATAGTACTTTATACTTATTTAAAATTGACCTTATTAGTTTGAGCCCAACATTCTAGCCTATTAAGCTCATTTTTAGAGTTTTTATTTCCTTTCCTCTGATATTAATGGGTCTTATTTACATTTAATAAACATTCTTTGTATGTTTTAATCCAAGTCACTAATAAAAATGTCTAGGACAAAACTTGGTAGCAGTGGAGATCTCCTTCCAGTCTGGGTATGTGTTTGGACATTTTCAATTTTGCCTAATGACCCATTTTACAACATAATGTTGAAAATTTATTAAACATTTTGTCAAAATCCTTGAAGATTTATTAAATATTCTGTTTAAATAAAGATACATCATGTTTGGCATTTTCTCTTATTTAAATGAATAAGCATATATTGTTGACCTCCTATCTGCTAGGTTCTATGCTAGATGCTAATAACACAAAAATGACCAAGATGTTAGTATTTTCTTAAAGAGTTCACATCTGGCAGAGGTGACAGACACACACACACCAGCTCCAAATCAATATATGTATAATTAAAATTTGCATTAAAGGGACAGATGAAAAATAAAATATAATAAGATAATATAACATATCATATAAACATTAGCAATGTAAGTAAAATGTATCAAGAATCTAGAGAAACCTTTCTTCATGGTGAAGAAAGAGAAAGGAAGGCTTCAGAAAAAAGCGACATTTGAACCTGGCCTTGAAACATCTGTAGAGTTTTTGTGAGGTAAGTGGACACTGGAGATAGGAAGAAATTCTGCAGTGGAGAAACAGGATATGTAAGCCAGGGAGGAGTAAATGTCTTGGGAGTGATTCAGGAGCAGCAACTATTACAGTGTGAGTGAGTACCAGGTTCAGGAAAATGAGTGTGAAGAGCTGAGCTGGTGTCTGAAGTGTCTTAACTGTTAAGGAATTTGGGCTTTATCCTATAGGTGAAGGGTTTAGCTAGAAAATAAATCTTTAAGCAAGAGAATAAATAACACGATCAGATATATCAACTACATAACTCTATTGCACAAGGTGGTATGTTCAGTTTAGCAAAACTCATTCTTAGTGAACCCATTTTGGTTCTAGCATTAACTGGCCACTAAGCATCTGTTTAATGAGTACCTCAAGCTTTCTCTGTGTGTTTTGCCCTGCTTCTGTGTTTTTCTTGACTTTTGCTTTGACCTTTCAGCCTCTTACCTTTATTTTTCCCTTGGGCATTTGGGTTCTGCATTCTGTTGGTTTATTTTTCATCCACAGTGTGCTCTGACCTTTACTATTTAATGTGTCCTCTGACTCTGGCTTGTTTACCAGATTCTGAGCCACAGCAATTTGCTGGTCCTCAGTCCTGGACTTGACTCCACTTTGGAATTCTCACCTGATTCAGTTGCCCAATTCCTCTGTGGCCTCTGCATTCTGATCTAACCTGCTCTCATCCTTTGTGCTGCCGTCTTTGCCTCAGTTCTTCTACATTAGCTCTCTGACCTGCAAGTTGTACCTGTTTGTTCATTTTCGTTCCAATTCTGGCAATAAAATATCATCTTTCCTTTCTAGAAGCTATAGTATAGTAGAAGAGATAGACCTAACAAACAAGAAACTATGTGTTATAATTGATTGGCAAGTTGGATGTGCTAACTAAAAGTGTTATATGAGTTTAGAGAAAGGATTGAACTGGGAAATTCAAGAACCTTAGGAGGAATGTTCTTTTCTAGGCAACTCCCTTTTAGGAAGGTTTAGCTATTTGGGACATGGACACATCTTTGGAAGAAAGAAGGGAAATGCAGGCGGAACTTCCTCTGGACTTCCCTATCATTGGCTCCAAAGCTGCCTGTCTTAGAGGAGCCACCTTGTCTGTGCCATCTAGTGGCTGTTGCCACAAGAAACCTTACTCGCGTCAAGGAGACAGCAATTTAACGCCATTTCCAACTTAAGCACCATATCTACAGGGCGTGAAATTAGTTCCAGCAAGCAGCAAATTTGCTGCTAATAAAAATATTTAGCGATTCACTTGTCTTTAAATCAGCAGCAGAATATTCTTTTACTTGCATCAATGCTTGTTTCTCCCAATTCTAATATTTGATAATCAAGCTAGAGTTATTTAGCTAAAGCTATGAAACAGCAAGTTCTTCAGCTCTGTAAAAATTTGAGTTTCCTGAGCAGGAATTTTTATTTCTTTCTTCTCTTGGTCAGAAATAGTCGTAGGTGTTCTTTGGATCATGGAAATGGAGCTCTTTCACTGATTTGGGGGGCTTGGAAATAAGTTTTCATTCTCTTCTTTCTGCCAACTTTAGCTCCTTGAGCTGTTACACGTGGAGAAACTAGGTTGCTAAGAGAGGACATGATTTCTATCTCATGTTTAGACACATCTTTACTCTGTCTCAGTGCCAAACTCATTTTAATTTCTTTTCTGTCTCTTTCAGCCTCTATATACTCCACACCAAGAGCTCTCTAAATAACGCAGAGATATTTTAGGGCACTAAAACAATTCTTTAATTAATTCAACAAATATTTATTGGGCATCTAAACGTGCATTCATTGTTCTAGATCCTCCTTTGGGTCATAAGTATTCCAAGAAGCCTAGTATCATAGCGAGTTGAGAGGCTGACCAGGCAGATGACACCTCTTGTCCAGGTTGCTGGAACAGTGGGTCACGTGGACTCCTACTTATTTTTCTTTTCCTTGAAGAGCTCATAGAAGGAACAGATTGCATCAGATATTCTACCCCTCATCACTTAATTGGCCTAAAGGCCTTAGTTTGAACAGATCACTTGTTTCAAAGTGCAAATAATCTAAAGAAAGAGTACAGTGGCCCCCTGGGTACTCTGTCTTCCACTCCAGAGGAGTCCTGTCTGGATTATTCTTCTTCAGCTCAATTGAAATCAATTTTGATCATCCTGACAGGAAATCAGGGTATAAGGCAGCTTCAGACAGGAACAAATACATCCTTCTCAGAAATCAGCCATAAGGTGCTGAACGAAAGCAAGCCTCTTGGACAGGAGGGCCTGGGCAGGGCTGAGAGCAGGGAGTTCAAGTCCCAGACTCAAACTAAGCCACTCGATCAACTCTAACTTCACTGGGGGGAGATGCTGGAGGGGGTAGATTGTAGGAAGGGAACGACAATTGTCAGTGGCCAAGACGGCAACATGGAGGCTCTGGAACAGGAGAATCCCCTCTGTGTGTCGTGCAGAAGGATGTTTTGGGGATCAGAGCGCCCTGGCTCTATTCTTGTCCCTTTCTCTCAGGTTCCCGACTCTAATACTGCCCCTCCTCCCCTTTTGGCATCATTTTCTTCATCTATCAGAACAGATGAATGTTACTCACCACCTCGGGTCTCCTTACTGCAGCATAAGAAGCAGATGGAGACTATTTTGAAGAGCTGTGAGAGGCTCACCAGAGGGGGCTATGATGAACATCTGGATTCCCCTGGAACAGAGCGCCTGACAGGGTGGCACATTCCGGTTAGACAAAGCAAGGCTCTTCTGAGGATACACGAGGTAAGACCCTGAGTGGGGCCACTTGCCCTGGATGATATGTCACTCCCCCATCATGCTATAGCCTCAAAACCCCAAATATTTTCTGTTCAGAGAAGGTCTCCTGAAATCCCTAGTGTTTAAAACCGTGACAGTTTTACTGTAGATAGAGTGATGGAAATCACCAGCTGTGAATTGTTGGAGAACTATAAGAAATGATTTGAAGTATAAGCTTTATCAGTTAAGTACTTAAGCAAAATCCAGAACCAAGATCAGGAAAAAATAGAACCAAATAATTTAGTAATTAAAAGAGAAATAAAAACGTTCTCCAATCTTGGTCCTGTCTTTCTCACATGTCAACATATAATCAAGAAAGTCTTTCTGGGAGTGAGGGTCCAAGGAAATCGGGTGACTTGGAGGATGTGGATTGAATGTTGCTAAGGGCACGTGGGATGGAGCACAGCACAAGGCTACTGGAGAGCAGGGAACACAAGGAGACAGATAAAGGAGCTCTGAAAAGAACTAGAGAGCAAGGAGGGAGCTGGCAGAGGGAAGCTCTAGGACCTACAAGAGCCTATTGACCCTAGAGGTAGAGAAGGAATGATAGGATCAAAGCAAGGGTGCAGCCTGTCTGCAGGGCATCCTGGTCCCTTGGCACCCTCCTAGCTGCTTCTTATTTTAATGTCCTTTAGGGCAGCTGTTTACTTCCCCATTTCCCATTCCAGCACCCTTGCCTCAGCCAGCTACCAAACAGGCAGGAGGGCTCACAGCCTACAGCTGTCTTGCTGTCAGGTGCCAGAGTTGCTTAAAAGTCAAGCAGGTTCTGAAAATGGATTAAAGATAGTTTAAAGTGTCTAATACCCATGTGTTTCTTGGGCATTTCTTATAATAGCATTAATCATGGGCCAGTCATTAGGTTTCCCAGAGTTCTCCTTAAAATTAATACATATATAAGGTGGAAGTTAGCAGCACCTCTGTTAAGTCCTGATAAACATAACCCTAAGAGGTTGATAATTCCAACCTAGGATGTGTAGAGCATATGATCAGGGATCAATAATAAAAGGCCTCTACAGATGGAATAAATAATGTTTAGAGGCATGAAATAATTCTGTAATCTCAGAAAGGAACATGGGTAATATGTTGGTTCATAAAACAGGCTGGCCATTTACAGGATTTCTAAGGGGTTAGGTAGCTGATATTAATTAAAATTAATTATATCAGAGGTCATCAAGTAGTTGATTTTTCTCTATGGAAAACTTAACTACCTCCCCAGCTTTAGCATCAAGTGTATGAATTGTTGAAATCAAGACTGGATCCTGGGAAGGGGAGATGTGTATGGTGCAGGACTGTCAAAGGAAATGCCTCTGCTAGGACACCCACATTCCAGCATGGGAAGGTCGTTTGGATAGTGCCAAAATGAGAAATGAAAGCAACATTTAGAGGTCCCCTAAAGGCAGCATGGCATCCTAATAAGAATACAGGCACTCATGTCTGACTGCTTGGGTTGGAATCCTGGCTCTACCTCTTATTGGCTGGGTGATCTTGGGCAAGTTACTTAACCTCTCTGTAGTTTCGTTTCTTCATCTGGAAAACTAGAAAAAAGTTACCTACCTCAAAGGTTTATGTAAGGCAATAAGTGTTAGATATTCATACCTTTAGTCCATGACAAATATTTGCAAAGCCCTTCAAATTGAGCCATTCTATTTACATGAGCTGTCTACTTCATGTAACTAGAAAACTTCAGAAAGCCACGCCACTTGGATTCAGTATACATTTGGGCCATTTAAGTGTGGGTGGGCCTGTATAGCTGCTTAGCAATCATCCTATCCATTTCTTGTTGACTTCTAGTGAAATGCCCTTAATAGTTGTTATAAAGCATGGCTTTTCAATCTTGGCACTATTAACTTTTTGGGCAGGATAATTCTTTGTTGTGGGGGCCTTCCTGTGTACAATAGTTCCTCTTGTCTGAGGGGAATACCTAAAACCACGGACCCCCAGCGGATGCCTAAAACCACGGATAATACAGAACCCTATACATATTATGTTTTTGTAATCTGATAAATGAGAGGGCTACCAAGTGACTAATGGGTGGTCAACAGATACAACACGATATGCTGGGCAAAGGCATGATTCATGTCCCGGGCAGGATGGAGTGGAACGGCATGAGATTTCATCCTGGCCTGCGATTTACAACTTATAAATTGTTCACTTCTGGAATTTATCATTTAATATTTTTGGACCATGGTTGACTGTAGGTAATTGAAGCCATAGAAGGTGAAACTGTGGATAAGGAAGGACAATTGTGATGCTGGGTGTTTAGCAGCATCCCTGGCCTCTGCCCAGGAGATGCCGGTGGTATCGCCCACCCCCATCGTGGCAACAAAAATCATCTCCAGACATTGCCAAAGGTCTCCTGGGGGCAGGAGGCAGAATCACCCCCAGCTGAGAACCACTGTTCTAGGGCTTTTTCATCCTCAGTCTTGCAGTCCCACCTGCAAACACCCACTTTCAGTTGATGATTATGCCTCCTGTTTTCCTTAGTAAAACGTCACCCAATCTAGGTTTTTAAAATATCCCTTTCTTCCCATTCAAAATATGTCTGGATATTCGCCCATCCTTTTCTCTTCCCCTGTGGTCTAGAATTGCCCTCTTATTCAAGATGAATCACTGCACTCATGTCTTCCATTGAAGCCACTCTGCTTTCTCTGCTCCTTAGTCATCTGCCTCTGCTCAGCCTTCCCTTCTGTCCAGACGCAGGCTCCACCAGTTTTTTTCCAAATGCCTCTAAGTATCTTAGTTACCCTCACTAAGCTACAAACCTTGTTTCTCATTTCATCATCATGTTTCTCTGACAAATAGATATGAACAACAGCCAGTATTCGTGGAGCACTTGCTATGCGCGAGGTACTATCAGGTACATTCACAATATCTTTGCCACCGTGTGCTCTCCCCTTTGCCCAGAGCACTTATTTTCTCAATGATGACCAAATGGCCAAATCCAGCGGCTTTTTCTTGGTCTTCAATTCTTTTCTTTCTCTAAAGCTCTCTTAACACTGTCGACCATGCCTTGGTTGAAACCGTTACCTCTCTCGGATTTTAATTTCTCTGGGCTTCAATTTGATTAGCTTAAATTTGCAAGAATTAATTTAAGTTATTTCTAAGACCTTCTTTTGTGCCACAATCTTATACATTTAAAATCCTCTCAGCTTGTTTGCCAGACAGCTGCAATCAGAACCCTGTACCTTCAGAATCCCCAGGGCCCCACCGAAGGGCTGGGCAGGAGGGACCCCCCTGCAAGAGAATATGCTGAGGTGACCTGGATCTGGATCTTCCATACAATCATCTAACTTTCTTAAGCTTAAGCTTTTTTCAAAAGACGTTTTTCAATGTCTGGGCTAGAGTACAGTGGCATCATAGCTCACAGCAACCTCAATCTCCTGGGCTCAAGCGATCCTCCTGCTTCAGCCTCACGAGTAACTGAGACTACAGGTGCATACCGCCACACCTGGCTGATTTTTCCATTTTTATATTTTTATTTTTTTTTTTTTTGTAGAGACAGGGTCTTGCTCTTGCTTAGGCTGGTCTTGAACTCCTGACCTCAAGTGATCTGCCAGCCTGAGCCTCCCAAAGCGCTAGGACTTATAGGCATGAGCCACTGTGGCCAGCCCTTTCAAGTTTTGCTTTTTCCCAAGCACCATCATTATTCGAACCCAGGCTGAAAACAAAAGAGTGATTTTGTTTGTTTTTATGTGTGTTTTATTATGCTTCCCTTTCCCTTGCTGTCCCCAGTCCAGCTTCCAGAACATCTCTCAACACCAGTCCCTGATTTTCACCCTCACCAGCCACTACTCTGACTTGGGCCTCATTATTACCTTTTAAAAATGGAATGTTTCTCACAGCATTTAGCTCTATATTTTCTAAACAACATTCTGCTTCTAGTGTTTGATTTCCTCACCCTCTCACCTTGACATTATCGTTACCTTCTTCCTCTGGACGATGATAATGTAACTCTTGAACACACATGTCACACACATATGTCATGTGTCTCCTCCCTAGATCTTCATAATTTAGTTACTATCTAATTTTTGGTTAAATTGGTATTCAGTGTTCATAGTGTTGTGACTATGGAAATATTGTTTGTAACTAAGCCATGCAGTGCACTATGATCACTTTTCCTTTCTTGTGTGTTTTCTTTTTTTTTCTGCTAGTATTGGTTCTTTTTTCATTTGCTTAGTTTTATAGGTACCTATCACTATCTGCCCCAAACATTCTAGGAGAACTGGCAATCCCCTCCAATTTGGCCATGTACATCAGATAACTTCTCAATTGTCTATGGTTGAGTTTCCCTTGTTTTTCCTAAGGATATGCCACCTGGATTATCACCCTTCCTTCTTCCATCTAGACTGTCATCTTTAGGCCTGTGGCAGCTCTTTGCATCAACATTGGGAATTCTTTTCATTCTTCTTCTAACTGAGCCTCTTATTTCCTGGATCCATGTCTCTTCTTTCTTGGTTTATTCCTTATTTTGATGAAGCAAATCTTCTATAAGTCTTCTTCATAAAAAGGATTTGCAGGAGGTAAATATTTTTCAGTACTTGCATTTTTGGAAGTGTATGCGTTCAACTTTATAGTTGATTATTTGTCAAGTAATAGAAATGTTAATTAATAGTCATTTTTTCCTCAGAATTTTGAAGGTCTTGTTCCACCATTATTTTTGTATCTAGGCCTGTTTTCAAGAAGTCCAATGCCATTCTGGTTCTTATTCCTTTGTATGTGGCCCTTTCACCTCTCTGTAGGTTTTTAGGACTTTCTTCACTCTTTCTTCCTTCCTTCCTCCTCTCGCCCTCTCTTCCTTACTTCTTTCTCCCTCTTTTTAATCAGCTTTATTCATATACTATACAATTCATCCAAGGTGTACAATGGGTCTTTAATATGCTCACACAGTTGTGCAACTATCACATTAATTTTAAAACATTTTATCACCCTCAAAAGAAACGAACCTTATACCCATGAAGCAGTCAGTC